ATTACTTATATTGAAAAAGATGCGTTCAAAAATATTGATAAAAAAATTATTGTATAGCGTTTTTAAAATATAAAACCATATTAAGAGCAATTGTGAGATTTTTAACAATTATAACTCGATATAAAAGTTTTAGTTTTTATTTTAATTATTAAATTATTATTTTTTTTATAATTTAATATATTTGAACTAAATCACTACCAAATAAAATTTCTGGTTCACCTCTAGTTGGAAGTGAATTGAAGGTATTAGATTTAACAGAAGGAAGAAGAAGAAATGTGGAAGGCCAAAAAGACATGTTTCTAAGCAGAGCTTTTTTCATTTCTTCTTCTACTTTAGGGGTTTAGGGGTTTAAATTCAAAAAGAAATGAGTTTTATATCGATGTTTGGTAGTTAATTTTGTTATTATTTATTTTCTATTTTTAGCTAGTAAAATTTTGAAAAAGAAAAAAAAATCATCTTTATATATATAAAACCAAGTATAAATTCTCATTAAAGAAAATCAGAGAGTATAAATTAAGACTAAAATGTAAGGATTATTAGTCTGTAATGAAATGAATACTTGACAATTCTACAATCAATCGCTTGTGGAGTATAAAAAATTTTTTTCAAAAATCCGTGGGTCTCTGTTGTTGGTAACCGCTAAAGCCATCCTCTTGCATTACGGAAGATGTGGATAGAGGCGGCAATTGGTGGGTTCGGGCAGGTTCTCGTTTCGTTTTGTTTTTTTTTGTTTTTATTTTTAATTTTTATTCTAAGTTGGGTACACCTCCGCTTCAAACAATTTAGAATTTAGAGTTAAAGACGTTCTGAATTAGTCCTTATTAATTCAGATTCAGATTTTTTTTTTCAGTTTGATCTGATTCGAATCAACTTAAATTTGTACTATTTCAGTTTTTTTTTTTTTTTAATTCAGACTTTTTCTAATCAATCCGAATAAAGATTTGGTCTCAAAAAGTTTGGAATAATTTAGAATTCATATAAATATCAAATGCATTCAACCCCAACTCTCTTACAGGAGATGACTAGAATTCATGCAGTCGGAAGAATAAAAAGCGAAAAGGAGGAAGTAGAGAAATACCTCAGTCAACTCTTGAAGGTGGTAAAGAGAAATACACTATGTTCCCAAAAATTTAACGCCAGCAACACTAGCACTTCATTGCCTTGCACTCACCAGATCTGTATGACTTCAAAGTTATAGCAAAGAAGACAGATAGATTGGCAAATTTTCAATTCTGGTATCAAACATTTTGGTTGACATATTTTATGTTACAATAAGAACAATGCAGTTGTTGCTGAACACCAACCGGTCCTTGCATTGCTGTACCATAAAATAAACTTGACAAGTACATGCACCAATAGATTTATGAATCAAAACATCAATCAACTGGACATGTCCTTGGAGGAAAATTATTCTATTTCAGACCAAAGGTGCTTATATCAGTGCAAGAACTCCAGGGAAGAGCTTGGAATTCTGATCGAATAAGATGAAGTCAGGACATGGTAGATTTCATGCCACTCCTTAAAAGTCAACCCACCAAGACAAGTCTAATGGCTTCATGATTTCCGCCTGGCCAAGCTTGGTCCAAAGATATCAGTACGTTGAATGTCAATTTGGCTCCTCAATCCATTATTTTTCCTTAACTACGTTACATGCTCACTTTTCTCATCTGTGTAGCCTGATGCCTCTCCACTTCTTCCAATTAAATATGGCTCAGGTGAGGAACTGTTGGCATGCATTTCAACAACATGATAAGACCGAGTAAAAAAAAATTCTGCTCCAGATTTAGCTACTCCTTTGACAAGAGAATCAGGGTCTCTGTCACGCAATTGCAGAGCCTTCTCTGTTGCATTAGCTAATGCAAGACTGACTTCATTATTCTAATCTCCATTCTCTGCATGACATTACAATAAAATAAATTATCCCTTTATGCCTGTAATGCTGTTATCAAACAAAAACTGCAGTAGAAAAGAGTCTTTTTACATTTTGTAAGTACACTCTCCCAATTGGAAGACCTCCATTTTTTTTCTTTTAATTAAGGAGAAACAACACAATAGATACAAAGTAGAAAGGCATTGCTCAATAACTAGTCAAAATAGATCCATTTCGTTAAAAAATTGCAAAAAAAAAAAAAAACTATATAACATAGCTCTACGGGTAATACTGGTGCACCTATAATTTTATAAGCAAAAAGGAAACAAACAAGAGAAGTATTATGCAAATCTAGTTTCATTATAACATTCAGTATGAAGAGAGAAAAAAAAAAACTCAAAACTATTACAAATTTGGCAGGAAACAGCTCTATATAATGAAGAGATAATGCATGTCGTAAAACTAACATTCATATGCATGGAATATGAAGGCTAAACAAAAAATTTCCGATGGTTTTCTCGATCTGAAGCTGCCAATTTAAAATAGGGATTATATTGTTTTTGGCTTTTGGAGTTGATCATAAGGAAATATATATAATCCATCAATGTACTTTTTGACATTCTTTTTTATAAAGCACAAACACAGTAGCTTTTATTTATTTATTCTTTTAACAAAAAGAGTAGCAATTCAAATTCCACCAATAACGGAATCAAAAGTTAGGGAAATGTACCTTGCAGTTCAAAATCTTCGACATATCCAACTTTAAGAAAGGAAAACCGTGCTTAAAGTAAAAAAAATTATACATGTACTTTTTTTTTGGATAGTTAAAATTAATAAAAAAAAAAGAGGTAAAAGAATCCTAACACTCATTGTTTGATTAAATAATGAAAAAGAAAAAAAAATGATTTATTATATTAGTTTTTTCCCATTATAATCTTTGATAATCTTTGTTATTATTATAACATTTTCATGTTTATGTTAATGTATTCCATGTTTTTAATTTTCTTTTATTTCTTTATAAAAATAATCATCAATGAAATTTATGGAATTCATAAGAATAAAAATAAAAAATTAGAAACAATAATTTATTGATAAATGATATTTTGTATTCTCAATCTAATTTTAAAATTTAAAATCATACACTTTTAATTTTAAAAAATTAATAAAGATATAATAATCATTTTGTATTTTAAAATTTTTATTTTTTTCCTTTTCCTTCCTTTCCCCCAATTTGGGGTAATTAAAAAATAAAAAAAGTTGCGGGAAATTAAGGGGAGCTAAACATACATTTCTTTTTTTTTTTTTTTTTTATTTATATCAAATACAAACAAAGAAAAAGATTCCTTATTTCCTTTTGTTTACTTTCCATTCCTTTCCTTTCTCTCCCCTATTTGCTTTTGTTTCCTTTCCATTCCTTTCCTTTCTCTCCCCTTGCCTCAATCTAAACATGCTGTTAGATATCCAAAATGGAAGCATAGAAATTCTAGAGATTTAACTACAGGTACTTGTATATATGACTAGAGAGTTTCTCCTACAAAATTTCAAACCATATCATGTCTCCTCAAATTTACTCTATTTTTACATATCAGTATGCATTTGTAGAATACACATAAGAAAACCATTCAGTAGAAGTCCATAGCAAGGGATGTGAAATAGTAAATATAATTTCCAACTGAGGGAGCAACCATCTATAATAGTGGAGTTAATGTTCAGAAGATCTCAAATATGCATATATGGCAAATAAAGCCAACAAGCATCTAAATCCATAGACAACCTTTCCAGAGTATTTCTTGATTTTTCTCCCTTTTTTCAGTTGAAAGAAGACAAACGGACAATTATATAGCAAGTTCAGCAGAGCAGCATTGCTGCACGTATCATCTGACCATGAAAATTTTCACAAAATTGACAAATATTAAACATACAGAGGACAAATTAACAATTTAGAACAATCCATGTAAGTAAGAGACTCAGCGGGCACGCTCCAAAAATAGCAAAAATTTTTGTTATATCTTTATTTATCTATTCTTATTATCTATTTTATTTTTATTTAAGTTCAGAAAAATAGACTAACTCTAGGACAAAATAATTTAAAGCTGTTTGGTTTCACAAAGCATATAAAGCTGTTCAATTTTAATATGTTTATTCAGAAAGAGGTATTGCATTAAACTGAAAGTTGCGGGAGAAGCATTCATATGGCCATTCCCATTACACCATAAAGTATAGTTTCTTGAACTGAGCAATCAAAAAAATGAAATATATAGATAAATAAACAAGAAGATACAATGCAGAAAAATTAGAGAAGGAGGGGACCGGCAGAGAAACATAACAGTCAAGATAGCTTAAAGAAAATTAATTTAACAACTAGATGAATAAAACATATATTAAGAAAAGTTTATGGTTATGCGCCTGTTGAAAGCTAGCATGGCTTCAAATGCAGTAATACTGGTGCTAAGAACTCTTTGCTATCTAAAAGTGCAGTTTGCACACAGGAGACACGGATGAAAACATCACAATGTAAAAATGCAATATTTTTGTTATCAACCCAAAGTCTTTGACTTTCTAACATAAAGGGAATCTATGAGCATGTCTCAGAGGTTACTTCAGGAAAGTTAGCAAGTTTGGCAGGCCCATGACAAGAGTGTAGGTCCTTTTCCTATCAACCATGACCAGTTCCTTCATCTGATGAATCATGTGAAGGTAGCCAGCTGCACCAATGGTTGCCATAATAGTAAGTGCATCTTCTAACATCATATGATGCATGCAAAAAGTTACAAGCTATTAAGACAGACCAAATCAGCACACACCAACACCAGTAGCATCTCAGCTAAACCAAATGACTAACCTAGTCACACTTGATAGCATCTCAGCTAAACCAAATGACCGACCTAGTCACACTTGAATTATCAGGATGTAATTCTTATCTAAAGAGATGGTAAGGGCTATAGATTAGCATTGACTATGTTGTACAAGAGATAAGATTACATCAAGTAACTTATTATCTAAACCTTCCTCTGTGTATATTTTTATATGTAACTTATCATCTAAACTTTATATATATATATATATATATATGTACTACACATACCGAATAGATACAAGCTGAATTCTTCTAAAAACCTTTTGTCTTTATATGGTATCAGAGCCTGGTGAGCCTAACAACACTTCCAATCCAATGGCATCAACTACTACTGCAGCAAATAGTGCTACACTAGCCCTACTTGAAGTCATTCATATTAACTCAACCACTCAACTCCCACTTGAACCAAACAGTAGCAACTTTCCCTTCTGGTATCTTCAGTTTGATACATTTTTAATTGGTCTAGACTTGATACGCTTCGTTAATGGTACTCATCCTTGCCTTGCATCAACCACCACCATCAAAGACACTATTGTTTCCAATCCAGGATACTCAAAATGGATCAGACAGGATAAACTGATATCAATCACCGAATCAGTGACACCAATGATAGCAACTTCCAAGACTTCATATCAAGCAATGACAAAGCCGACCAATCTATTTGCTAGCAAGACCAAATTGAGAATCACGTCACTCAAGAAAAAACTGTCCTTGTATACACAAGGAGACAAATCAGTGGTCGAATATATGCAAGCAATGAAAAGTATTGCAGATCAGCTGTCTCTGGGACAAGCACCAATAGCAGAAGATGACCTGATATCTTCGTTCTCAATGGATCTGGGTTGGAGTTCAGAGAAATTTCAACAGCAATAAGGGCAAGAGAGTGTGCAATATCCCTTGAGGAATTGCATGATAAACTCACCGACTTTGAAGCAGTGATCAAACAAGAAGAACTCCTAATAGCACCAACAGTGACAGTCAAGATGGCAAAGAAAGGAGAAAGTTTTGAACAACTGAAGCAGAAAGGTAATAACCTTCGAGGTAATGACAATAACAACTCCTATTCACACAACAATTACAGTTCTGCTCGGAAAAAATTTAACCAATTCAATGTCAGTACAAGCAACAACAGACCAACATGTCAACCATGCGGGAAATTCGGTCACAATGCCAAGGTTTTGCAGGAATTGCAAAGTCTCATCAATGCAGAAATTAGTTGCAAACATTGCTCAAGTTTCAGGCATAACTAACAATCAAAACTAGGTAATGGAATTTGGTGCATCACGTGTTACCACTGATCTCAACAATTTGTTTCTTTATTATTATGGAGGTCCTGATGAAATATATTAATTTTAATTAATTTAAAATAATAATTTATATTATTTAATAAAATTTTATTTATTAAATATATATAAATATAAATAATCTAAATATGAATACAAAACTAATGATATATTTAACTGTTCATATTTATGTTTTTAATAAAAAATTTAAAATTATATTCATTTACTTATTCATTTTTATAATATAATATTCATCTTTATTTTCATTCAAAAAAAATCAAATTCACTATTAAATACAAATAAAATTAATATTTCTGAATTCGTCTCTTGACAGTCCTTTTGAAACACTCCACTAAGTCAGAGGCCCGCGTCATCTCACAGATTAAATCCCAAATCCATCACCTGAGCAGCTGAGCTCCTGGTAAACTCCTTTAGTTGGCAATAGCAGAAGTTGTTAGCTTTGACTCCCGTCCGTCGCCAAAGAACTTTGGCAAAGGTTGAATACGTTCAATTTTTTTCCCAAACATACACACTAATTTAGAAACATAGTTAAGTGGTTAATCTTCTAGAATATACCATGTTTTTAGTACTATTATTTTAAACTTTAATTAATCCATGTCATGATTAATTTTACTTCAATTAGTATAAAACCTAAAATTTCTAGAAATCTAAACAAACATTTTTGCTTTTTTCTTTTTTGCCTAGATACATAAAATATTTTTGAATAATTACTAAGATAAAAATTATATAAATATAATACAAATAGAGTTGAAAGATTAATTAAATTGGAAAGTATTTTGACATCGTCCAAGTTAAGTTAATTTAATGTAGATACTAAATTATATATTTCAAAATTTAATTTAATATTTTAAATAATTAAAGTTAAATTTAAATAATTTTGACCAGAAAAATTAAACTAAGACAACATTTACGAATTATTTTGTAAATATATTTTTACCTTAAACTTTTTTTTTTCTAAAATTTTTAGATTATTTTGAAAAAAGTATACTATAAACAAGTTGGTATACAAATAACAGGTATATCCATAATATCTAACAGGTCCTCTTTTGATCAAAAAAAAAAAAAACACGGTCATCTTTACAAGCAAAACCAACCAACCAAAGTGCATACACGATGTAATACAGAAGAAGGAACATCTATCAGTAACAGTAATAGGAAGGATGAGGAAGCCTTCATATAAGTAGTGCACACGCGAGAATGAAAGCAACAGGGCAGTTGGCAAAAGGCAAGTGGTGCTTTACGGTTAGAATAAAGATGAAAGCTTACCTACCCAGTTTCAGATGCCCCCTTTTCAATTTGTCCCACAAGTATTTAGCACCCCTCATGTCTGCAGAAAATTATTGCCATTTGTAGGTACCCAAATAACACAAACTCTGTAAAAGGATCTCTCCATCTGCTATCAATTTAATGCAATCATCCATCTAGCGGAAGCACATGCAACAATTCCAGAAGACATGATAATAAATATGCCTAAAAACTGTCTTTTGTAGGTGGCAACTACTATTTTATGAAATTAAAAAAAAAAAATTGGCATAACAGCAGCTTGTAGCAAGCAGGTTGTATATTTAGCTACTTATCCAATGCAACAAAAATTCACCTTTACAGCCAAAAAGGCACGGCCGTGGCGAGAAAAAAAAATAATAATATGAAAGATCATACTAAAACCCCATGAATATTGGGTGCAAACTAGACAAGCAAAACGAAACCACAATTTTTCGAACCATTTGTAAATGAAATTGGGCAGCCCAATCTCCCTGACCAAAAGGTTATAGGAATATTTCTCTGTTTTCTCTTTCATTCATAAGCCTTTTCCCAATCATCTACAACCTCCAATGGCTCTGTTTCATTAAAATCCCCACCAGACACCCCAGCTGAATTTGAATTGGCAGCATTTGAATCTATTCCTGCATTTGGTAGCACCCCAGCCTGCTTTGAAAGATCTTCAGTTTGAACTGCTCCAGAAGATGAGCCTACACCTGTTTCAGAATGAAGAACACTCCAGCGGTTAATTGAAGCAGCAATTGGAGCTTCCTTGCCTTTCCATACAGAACCTGGGTCTGAACTGCCACCAAAAGACTCTTCACCACCCCATGAATCTTCCCTCCAACCAAGCTCCGGCACTACAGCCTTCTTCCATGGATTCGACTTTAAAGCAGGACTTGGTCCTGTTCCTCCCCATGCATTACTAGCAGGTGATGCACCTGATGCTCCACCACTCTGAACAAAAGTAACAGCCCCAACATAAACTGATCCATGATCCAATCTCCTCATTGCCGTTGCAGCTCGTGCAGGATCACTAAATACAGCCAATGCATTCTTGTCATTCAACCAAACAAGTTCACACTCCCCACCAAACCTCAACACCAATGCACTTATATCTGCTTCTCGGGGCAAATCTAGGAAAGAAACAACAAGCCTTGGATCCATGTCTACCAGAGGATCAAAAATGAGAGGGTTTAGTGCCCCAATACCAGTTGACCCCTTAAACCCAATGATACGAGGTGGTGGTTTGGATTTGGGAGTAACATGAACCACGATAAAACGCTTGGGCTCCCAACCAGCAGCACTAATAGCAAGCTTCCATCTTTCAGCTATTATCCTGACTGCATCTCTCTTATCCTTCAGCATTGGGCAGAACACATGAACTTTCAGACCAGTTGTTGTTCCTCTGTTCTTGCCAAGTACCAAAAACTTGCATCTCTCCTCTATAGCTAGAACCCACTTTGGATCACGCCTATATAGGTCGGAAAGTAACTCAGACGTAACTGAATTCTCACCAAAATGAAGACCATCCAAGTTGGGTGGAGTAATGTCAAACGCATCTGCAAGAACCCGTTTGCGCTCCAACTTGGCACATTCATCATCACACATAAGCTTCCTTTGGCCAAGAGGAATCTTCTTGCCAGTTGATTCCACTGGTTGAAGGGGCACTGGCAATTTTTGGATAATAGAAGCTTCAAAAACTGTATCAGCATTGAACCCACCTGTGCAGCCCCCAGCATCACAAGGAACAGTAGCAGTTATCCGGCCACAAGAACACGTGATTGTGACTCGAAAATCACACCTAACATCAGGACATGGTGCAGAGGGATGACAAGGTGCAGTACAAGTGTGCCTGCAGTCTCTCCGAGGGGCACCGCATGTCTGCCCACAGGAGGTCCTCAAACCTGGTTCAGCTCCAGAAGAGGCATCACATGGCTCTGGGTGACATGTTCTTCCACATGCATGCAACCCACACCGCCTGGTCTTGCCGCAGAGCTTGTTGCATCTGATATCTTTTGATCCACAAGGAACGTTCCTGAGAACAACATGTCCTCCAATGCACTCCTTTGCCACAGGTACAGAACAAGGTGGACAATCTCCAAAATGGCAGCTGTGAGAAGACGAATGACCACAAGCCTGCGGAACTGGGCATGGAAGTTGACATGAAGGAGGTGGCGTACCACAAGGCAATGGAGGAGGGATTGAAGTTCTTCCACAAGCACATGTCAAATCAGTGAAGATTGTTTCCAAGCATGGAGGGCAGTGGCCACTATGACAAAGAGATTCACAGTAATGCTGCCCACATCTCAGCTTTTTCCCACATGCCATTTGGCAAAAGTGTGGATCCCAATCGCCAGAGGGAAGATTATTTGAGTTTGAGAGAGGACAACAACGTTCACTACATCGATGTCTACCGCAATTCTTCTTATGCCCACAAGGCTTGTCACATGTAAATCTCTCATTTTCAAGTGTTGTTCTGCAGCATTCCACCTTCCTAGAAGTTGATCCACATCGGCATTTTTGGGTGACAAGAACTGAACAAGGCGGACAATCCCCAGCATGACACACTTGGTCACATTGGTGCACTTGACAAGGAAGGAACTTGGCACATATCTCTGAACAAGTTGGAATAGGGTCCAAACAACTTTGCCTTTGCTCTTGCAAGCTTGTTTTCCCACAGTAACAAGACTTGATCTTGCTTGGCATAAACTCACAATCCCCACAAGGTCCAGGATGGCAAATCTCAGCACAGTAATGATTACAACATCTAAGCTTCTTTCCACACGTTGAATTACAAGAAAAGATACCTTCTTCTGCTTTCACTTTTCCCTTCACAACCATGTCTCCACATATGACAACTTCAACCCTTTTCTTGCAGAAACAGGGGGCATTAATTAGAACCTGGCAAGGATCACAAGGTCCCACATGGCAAATCTGCTCACACAGATGACGCCCACACTCAAGAAGTTTATCACAGCGCTGACCACAACTAAGAACCGACTTTCTATCAGAGCATCTGGTCGTAATAACTTTCTTCCCACAAGGACACAACCGTGGTGGAGCAAAGGCCTTACAAGGAGGGCATGGACCAGGGTGACACTGCAAAACACAAACATGAGGACAAAGTTCATCCTTCATCAACCCAGCACCTATTCCATGCTCCTTCTCAAGTGGCTTTCCACACAGCTCCCCACATGAATGTGGTGTCAAGTACAAATCTGAAGGCGGGTCTGTCCTCTTCCCACAAAAGCAAACATATCGTATCTCCTTAGAGGATGTCAATTGCACAGATTGACAGCCCGGACAACGCCAATTAAAACCCTGATTCTTCTCTGCCACTAAATCAACAGAAGTGGGTGCCCTCGCCCACTTCTTAATACAATTGAGGTGAAAAATGGAGTAACAACTGGAGCACGACCATATGGGGGCAGACCTCCGTACCATATCATAACAAATCATACACTCAATGGTGCTCTTTATAAGCTTGTCCTGAATTTCTTGCACAAGCTGTGGCAAATTTGGATCAATCTCCTTCCTCACCACCACATGATTCTCATTCCTTTCCTTTTCCCTATCTCTTCGATGGTTGGTGGACCGACCAATTTGTCCATACCTATTATCATTTCGAGTTGAGGTGTGGTTAACATCAGGGGTTGAATTAGAGGCGGTTGGTGAGCTGCTTATAACGGTGGTGGTCATAGACGAAGATCCTCTAGGAACCCATTCTTGACGAGTGCTTTGAGAAGGGTTTCTTGATCTATTTCGGCCCTGAAAGCTCATGTTTTTGTTCTTGGAAGTCCACAAACTTTGTAAATCCTCTTGAATTTTTTTGATGAAACAAAAGATTCAAATACTAGCTTTAGCTTTGATCCTCCTCCTAAAACTGGGATGACCCCACCAAGTCAAAAATATTTATCAATAATCCTAGCAATCCCTAGGTTCCAAATGACAGACAGATAAACAAACACACAAGAGAATCAAATGAAAATCAGAAATTGATTTTCAATTAACAGAGAAACATCAGTCACTTACCTCAAAGCCAACTAGAAAATCCAAAACAAAGAAAACACAGATCCGGAATAACGAAAAGAAAGCGGAAGAGAAGAAAGAAAAGACAGAAATAGAACGCACCTGAATACCTGATCAACAAAATAAAACAAAAGCTTTTCTTTCTCCTGCGGGTAAAAGTATTGTTTAATAAGTGGGGTTCTTCCTTTCTCGGGAGAAAAACCAAAGCGACCCGACAGAGGTGATGGCAGAGATAGGAAGCGTATATATAGGGGAGAGATTGGCTTGGGGCTAAAGAAAACGAAGATTAACTCGTCACCATAAACGTTACGACAACCGTGCTCATGACCAGATGACTCCCAAGTCTCAGGCCCACACTTTTTTCTCAATCAAGCAAGCATACGGTGCACATGCGTCCTTGCTGCCCACTCAAGTGCAAAATGACAAGTCTCAACTCAACCCCCTTAACTAAGCAGAATCCAGGGCTGTTGGGCATGAAGTGGGCCTGAGGCCTGACCAACACTTCTGGTCTATTGAGTTTATTGGACGAGGGAGGACCTAATTTCACATAATGATAAAAAAATAGGCCCAATATGTACTAAGTTGTTTCAGTTTATGTGATAAAAATAGAACTTAACCCAAAATTGTCCAACAAATCACTGTTGTTGAAAATTTTTCAATGGCCCAAACAGGCTTTTGGAATTTGCAGTCCAAATCGTAGACTCGGAGGAGTGGTTAGTTTGGACTTTGGAATTAAATTGGCTGACATCTATGTGGTCGAGATCAGTCTCCTGTCTCCAAGATAAGTTTGTTGAATCCTCTAGCTTGTCCCGACAACTGTATCAGAGCTACCCCTAGTTGTCCCTTTGTCACTCGATTCCATGCAAAAAAACCTGTCTATGACAGTTACCTCTTTTGCAGCCATTCCTTGTCCATGACCACTCCCCTGTTACTTTCAACTCCAATTTGTTAGGCTGTTGTGCTCTTCTACCTCCTACGATCTAGGTTGCAATTTACTCCATATGTTACAGCAATTGATAAATAAGTATTCATCTTATGTCTCGACAATGAAACATTTACGATTAAATTTTGGGTCTCCCCTCACCTTTTTTCAATAACGAAATTTGAAGTCTTTTACTTCTTAATCTAGTTATCATAAAAATTTTAAAAAAAAAAAGTAAAAATTTAGTTTCGAATTAAATTTTTTTTAATAAAATTTTACTTTCTTTTGAAAATAAAAAAAAATAACGAAATTTGGATAAATAATTTTTCCTTTTTTTTGTTCAGACACAAAATCACTTATTATCTGACTTACCAATTGAACTAATATTTCTTTTTGTTTTTCAGTATTCGAAATTAGTGTTAATATAAATTATGATTTATAAAATTCAAATACAAAACCACTTAGAATCTCTCCCACCAGATGATGTAAATATTTTTGGATTGATGGCATGGCATCTAATATCAATAAGTTGTTGGCTGCCAAAATTACACAATGACTTCTAATTTCTTGAAGTAGTCCTCTAACTCTTTGTTTTTCCTGTTTATTTATTGATTACATACATAGTTGTTAAGTTAACAGTAGGTATAAACTTGTATTTTCTGCAGCTATGTTTTTGGGAATTTGTTCTTGTGAAGTGATTTTTGATGATATACAACAACCTTTACAACTACTCTTAACCACTCCATTAAAGGTGAGTGCACTTTTCTTCTGGTCAGTTGGTGTGGAAAAGGTAATTGAAGCCCCTAAATAATACTCTAAAAAAGTACATAAAAAAGGATAAGCGAACATTGAATAACAAAATAATACAGTATAATGGGCCAACAATCGAGAAAATAAGAAAAAAAAAAGTAAAAATAGGTCGGTAAACTCACTTTACTTTTCTGGCTTTTGATAACATGAGCAATTTAGTCAGAATGAATTATTGAAAAACTCTTTTTTTCTTTGTCCTTACATTTTGTTCCTTTTTGATGGCCCATGGATAATCAGCGAGCATCGGCACAGGTGCACAGTCAGAACTAGATTTCAAAGGATTTGACATAAAATGAGAAATGCCCTATAGATTTCTTTTTACTTTTCAAGAAAAAAAAAAAAAAAAAAGGATAAAACCCATTTTCAAAACACAACATTTGGTTGGAGAATCCTATTCAGAAACAAGTTCACGAGTTCTTTTCTCACCAATATGGTAAACCTATGCCATGGAACCTAAGATGTGTGAAAATGGAATTTGCCCTTTCTTTTTTTTATGTTGGCTTATTGGTCAAATTGCTTGGCTGTCAGGCCAAAGTCTCATTGACTCGGTGTATTCTCCTTCAAATTATTGTAATAAACAAGCGTTGTATTCAGGGTTAGAATTTAAAATAAAGTATGATACAGAACAGCATCCAGGATTCTGCTAAAAATAATGCTTAGGGTGTGTAGAAAAAACAAAAATGTGACCCAGAATGGACCCCCACACCACAGAATTGGATGCTTTCCACTTAAGACATCACTTGAGTCAAAATAAGACCTTCTCACATGATTGCTACTATTTGGCCTAATACAGAAATTCCAGCAAAAATTAATGGTAGCCATTAGCCTGTAATTTATGTAATCCTCAATTTTCAATACTCCTTTGATTTTTTGACCTTGTGAATGTGATTTTCTTTTGTAGGGCCCTTTGAAATGGCATCCACACTAACCCACAAATCTGACTTTTTGAAGCCTCTATTCCGGCCGATGCTGCCCAAAAGAAAATACCCACAAAATTCTCAGCCCTCGAGAAACTTTGGTATAGAAAAAGACCAAATAGGGTGAGATTTAAGACCCATTTCCCTTTTTTTTTGTCCTTTTCTTTTTTGCACATTTGGTAAGTGAGCATCAATTTTAAGCTTAATGAAAAAGAAAAGAAAGCATCAGTTGCAATTTCAAAGAGGAAAAGCAAAAGTGTATTCATATTTTACAGTTTCAGAGGACACGGTAAGTCAGCTGTTTGAAAGCAAAATCCCCACAAATTCCAACAACAAGACAAAGTTTAGTCCACCTAACAAGCTCTTAGTATTAAAGAAAAGAAAATTATTAATAATTTTTTTGGAAAAAATTAAATAAGTAAACATGGAACTGCACAGAAATGTTCCTCATCAAAAGTTCAAAACCAATCAAAATTCTCCCCAGTAAAAAACTCAGAGTCACTCCATCTTCCCTCTCTCTCTCTAACCTTTAATCAATTCCACGTTCTGTTATTCTTCATTAACATTTCTCTTTCTTTCTCTCTTGTAAAACAACCGGACCAAACCAAAAACAAAAAAAGCCATGCCATTTGTTACAGAAACCTCGGCTTCAGCTTCTTCTTCGTCTTCAACAATAGCAGAACATCTAAAACTAAGAAGGCCAACCAGAAACCAAATCAACATAACAAAAACAGATCCAAACCCAGTGCCAGAAATCCCATCTGTAATCCAATCCACTCGTTGTAAATCCAGCATTTCCTCTCTTTTCCTCTCCACTTTCGCCTCCACCAATTATGAAACAACAACAACAACAACAACAACAAACACCAAAAAAAAAGCTAACCCTTTTAGCCAGTCCACTCTCAGAGGACTTGGCTGCACAGCATCTGCATCACAGCAGGTGTCGGTGCCTGCCATGATACGTACATCAGCTGATTGGGAAGCTAAGAAAGTGAAGAAGAAAAAGAAAACACAAGAACAAGAAAAGAAGAAGAAAAAGAAGAAAAGCAGTAAACTTGTTGGCAATGATAATAATAACAGTAATAAGGTGCATCATCAGCAAGGTGTGGTTTTGAATGAAGGGAGTGGCAATAACATAAGTTGTGGGGTAATTCAGGATGTTTGGTGTGGACCTGGAATTGGGTTTTCAGCTGATGCTGTTGGCTCTGTGGATTGCGTTGTGGCAAGGAGAAATGTGCCTGCTAGAGGCAAGATTGATGTTGAAAAGGTCAACCATAGGGAGGTATATTTTTATTTCCTATCATCTTTTCATGTTATATGTATTTCTTTTGGGGTTTAAATTCCAGGTCATCGGATGAGTTCTATGAGCTTTGAGAGGTGGGGTGGGGTAAATTTGTTTTTTTGGTACAATTTGGATTTTTTTTTTATTAGTGTTGTGAGTTAATGTTGCATTATAGTGCTGTACTTTTTCATGTTAATCTCTTTCAGTTTTGTACTTTGATATTGATTTGAAACCAGGCTTAGGCACTTTTTTATTCTTATCTTTTTCCCATTTTTCTTGCTTAGTCGATTTGATTTTTGTTTGGTGGATGCACTCATCTTTGGCATGCCAATGTATTTATTTATGACAATGCTTAATTAGATGACTTTTCATTTACCATTTGATATTCATGACTTTTTGGGCATTGATAAATTCATTATGAAATGGTTAATTAATCCGTGCCTAAATTTTTTTCCTTAGCAAATCTCATTTCTTTGTTCATTTTCCAGGAAAAAAAACAGTCAATAAAACTTCTTTAGGAAACACTTTAAGTTTTCAATAGTTTAGACTAACCCCCAGATTTGCTCTTTTTGAATGAACAAATTTCACTTAAAGTTTTTAGTGCCTTAAGTTGGTTATTCTTTGCATTTGAAGCAAGCATATCGGTAATCAAGTATTTAATAGTCCTCCTTTTGATAGGATATTTACATAATTATATCATGTTTCATGCTTTTATGTCTGAATTTGCTTTGTTTTTGTTTTTATATTTTTTTTGGCCTTTTCTTTTAAAGGGTGCATCTAACAGTATTTCTTTCAAACCCAATTCCGAAGCATTGGCCTTGTCATTAACCATCCCTGTTAATTTATTTTTATGTTTAATCTATTTGTTGAAAATAGAGTGTCGTGGAAAAGTTTATTTATTTCCCCTTGTTTTGACTAGAGAATATATCCCTGCTGTTCTAAGTGTAATTGGAAGAACCATGTAAATTTTGATTGTGTTTTTTCCTATTTCAGAATATCTTTATCACGTACTCATGTTTTAATTCACCAAAAAGAAATAAAAACTTTTAGTGACAGAACACTTAAATTCTTGGGGTGTCATTTTGGTTTTAATTTATTATTATTATTTTTTTATCAAATGGTGTTACATTGATAAATTTCTTTTCCTTGGATTGGATACTCTTATTTATTTAGTTCTTTCTCTAATATAGATTTTCATTGGTGTTTGGTGAGTTAAGCAGTTTTGTCACTTCACTTCTTTTAATAATTAACAGAAAAACCGTGCACGTATAATTTAGCTTGGTTACTAAAGAAAGACAATATGTTAGGATAAAAGGCCTATCATGGACCCCATCAAATTAGGAGATAGTTATACGGAGCTTTTGATAAGCACTTCAGTGTTTGAATCATATGAGGACTCTCTCTTCTTTTCTCTCTATATAAATAGAGTTTTTCTCCATCATTGTCCATCTTGAGCAAAAGTTTGTTGAACTGATTCAGTTTTCTCCTTTCAGCATGATAGTTGTTGCTTTATCTCATAATTTCTGACATAAAAACACATACACTTTGTTTTTATGTTGGCTGATTTTGCTTCATCTATGTTGACAGCGTTTTTGTATAGCAAGGCGGACTATAAATCCTGAAACTCTCTCGTTTTTTGATTCTGATTCAGCCTTCATCCCAACACGTCCGGCACCCGAATTCTTTGGAGCTAGATACCATCGTCATGTTCGACATCCTTCTCCTGAGGGGCTTGCTGAGGTATGTCTATACTTCCGTGGGCTTCTATACAAAATTCAAGTAATATCTCATTTGGGCAATCAAACATTGTTAATTTGGAAAATTCTTTCTGATTATAGCTTTTAAAGATTCAATTTTGGCATGTAAAGTGACAGCTTTTCATTCTACAAGAATATAAGATCCCGAGGATTCTCACTAGCACAATACAATGAATATTGTTCAATGTATTCCTTATGGTCCTAGTAGAAAATGCATTTAGCTCTTTGTGAGTTTGATTGTTTTAGGTTTTTTTCTTTTTTTTTTTTTTATCAAATGCAAATATAACATATATTCCTTTTTCCTTATTTTTTTAGAGTTCAATCTTTTTGTTGTCTTAAACTGTGTTGGTGGGGGGAAAAGACATTTTATTGAATAATCTCAGTTTATTTTTCTTTTTTAAATTTTACTGCTTTTCTGAAAAGAAATGAAAGTGGGTCGGGTAAGGCTTTTTCTGGTAGTAATGTTGACTATTCAAAAAGGATTCATTGCGGTTAAACCAGAATATTTTTGTTTTGGTCATTAGAGTTGTGATTCCTGATGAACTAGTTGTAAGATCATAAGCGCTCTCTGATGCAATAACTGAAACTTTGGCTTCAGCAAAATAGTGTACATTCCGAGGTTCTGGGATATTATTTTCAATGGTGGGGTGTTAGCATATGACTTGATTTATCGGAGATTTTAATTGGAACTTTGCTTCTGAAATACTCCAACTGAGTTGATTATTATGTTTTTTACATGATGTAAGCCTTGTGCTACTACCATGAACTTTATTTTCTAGAAGTTAAATTTTAAAGGAACATCAAATAAGAACAAAAGTATGGCAATATTCATTTTAATGTGTATCGACTGAATTTATGGGGTATTATCTCTTGTTAGATACTCATTTTGGGGAAGTGAACAAACTTCAGAAAAGCTTCATTTTTCTCATCATTAAGTTGAGGTAGGATCTTTGTTTAATGTGCATTTCAAATTGTCGGTGGTTGCTGGTGCAGATAATGATGCTACAGAACAACTTTCTAATGGGGGGAAGATTAGATTCACGTGATCGATTTAGCGACTGGAGGCTTGATATTGACGACATGTCATACGAGGTTTGTTATGTTTCTTTATAAAAGGAAACTTAGTTATTTGGTATGGTTCAATCAATCCTTGATCAACTCTTGATTCGGTACAAAAGTAATAATCCTTGTTTAAACAATAAACATTCTGTTTTTACTGCTGTAAAACAGCAATTACTGGAGCTTGGTGATAAAATTGGTTATGTAAATACTGGATTGAAAGAAGATGAGATAAGCAGATGCCTCAGAAAAATTAAGGGCTCGATTACGAATGATTTACCACCAAACGTGCCAATGCATGTTGATAAGAAGTGCAGCATTTGTCAGGTGAGCTTTTCAAGTGAATTATTTTCTTCTTTCCCTTTCACTCATCCTTATTTAATTTGGTCTTTGGATATAGGAGGAATATGAAGCAGATGAAGAGATGGGGAAGCTATGTTGTGGACACAGCTTTCACATCCAATGTATAAAGCAGTGGCTGGTGCAGAAAAACACTTGCCCTGTTTGTAAGACTGAAGCAACAGCTTGATGCTAGCAGCAGCAGCAGTCATGGATTCATTTTAACCCTCTTGTTGGTGTATAGATTTTGCTCCAAGTACAAAAGCAAGGATTCATTTTTTTTCTTTCCTTTTTCTGAAAATGTGTGAAGCCTTAATGGTTCAACTTCTATTTGCTTAAAAAATGATGGGCAATTATTGTTATATGAATGAGAACTGTTGCAACTTTGCCTACCTCTCTTGAAATCAAATACTATTGTGACTGTGTTGCTAGCACTTGCCTTGCCCAATCTCCTTTCAATAGTTGATTTTGTTATGTGCCGTGTTAGGAAAATTAAGTTAAATCCTGAAGAAATGTACCTAAAATAATTCATTTTTGAATGTACATGTGGGTTGTGCTTTGCTTAAATATACAACTGCAAGTCTCCTCACGCAACCCACGCTTTCCTTGAGTCAAAAGCTGCCTTTGTTGACTGGGAATACATCCCATCCCAATTCCTTGAATACAACAATATAAATGCTTCCTGTACCTCCTTAATGTATGTACTTGATCTAGACTGCCTCGAAGATTCTTTCTATCAGCTCCTTTCTTCATAGGAAAAAAAAAGAATGAAGTAATGAAGCTTAAATGCAGGTAAAGAAAAATAGTCTCAAGGAATTTAAGCCGCATCATGATGACTGAGAAATTCTATTATACATGGATACACCAGATCCATGGCCTGCATCAAAAGGAAGCGTAAACCTTTAGGAGAAGCTATTATGCTACTGAAGTTTGGAATGAATTCCACTGGTTAAGTTGCATCAAATATTATAGAGTACTAAAATTATTAACTTTAGAGAATCCTATGATTAAATCTTACCAGTCGGCCACCCACTATATCATAGTGAGCATAATGTGGACCACCTGGTTCTCCGAAAACTTTGTAAGCAACCAATGGCTTAGGAATGAGCTTCACTGTTTCTGCTCCATTGATATCATTACAAACTAAATGAGAAAAGGAAGCAAAGCTAAACAATAAAATAGATCCAATCTAGACAGGTTGGATGAATTGCATCATACCATATACCGCTTCAGGCGGGCAGATCAAATCTTGGTCTCCAGCAATTGCTAAGACAGGGACGTTGCTTTTACTGAGATGATCCTTGTAGAAGAACATTCCACTCCTGTCACGCAATCCACCCTCCTGAAAGGCTGTTGTTAGCTGCAATAGAAGCTTGGCAGGCACTGTCTCTGCAAATTATGTTTTCATTGTCATTAACAAAATGGCCCAAAAATAAAACAATTATTCTAACATAAGCACCAATAAAATTTAACTGTGTCAGAAGGGAGATTTGGAGACTCATTGATATGATTCTGGACTCGTCAAGGACGTATGTATCAACAAGAAAGACATCAAAGAGCAACTTGGCTAGGTTGAAGGCAAAAAATAACTAAGAAATCAGGACAAATTAGGGAAGTAGGATCTACCACAAGCTGGCAAGCAAATGAAAACTACAGCATAGGAATCATCTACACGGTTCGAATATTGCCTTCTGATTTTTCCTGTAACTTATTACAACTAAAACCAGCAGTAGTGCCAATATGACCCATATAACAGACCCAACATGGTAGGAAAAGGCTTTTTGTGTCTTGTGGTACTTTTGAAGCATTCTGAAGCATCCATATAAAACAACACTTCAAAGCATCAATTTCATAGCCTACATTTAGCATTTATGCATTATAATGAAAGCAAAAGGTGAAGCATTTTTTCTTACCAAAGTTTTCCATAACAAGTTTGTCAAACAACTTTGGCGGCATCATGTCTGGGGCAGAAATTTGAGAATTCAACCAAGATAGGATGTAGGGAGGGCGAGTTGCAAAAGGATGGGCAGCAGCAAGCAATGTCCCGATTGGAATGACAGGAACATTCAGGACTTGTGCAGGGTCTGCCTACTCAGCACAGAGAGATAACATCAGCTTATTGTCATTATCTGTATTCTGTATACAAGCAAGTCCGAGAAACAAGGAAGAGCTTAAGCAATTCAATTTAATAACACTTGCCAGGGGTAAAAGCAGTTTGAGTGATGATTTAGAAGACATATAGTCCAATGATGATGCCAAAGTAGTGACCGATGCCAATCCAGAATCCTTACCTTCAAAACCTTATAAAAATAACACGTTTTAGCACTCTTATTTATTGTTCAAGGAACAATGTAACTCAAATGAAAAGCTCCCAGGCTCAGGGGGAATTGCCAAGAGCTACAGCAGATCTCACTTTTTGCCAACAGCAGTGTGGTCTATTGGTAGAGTGCTGGACTCTTTGTTCCAGTTTTAGGGTTCAGTCCCTATTAAAACCCCAACTAATAAAAAAAAGGAAAAGAAAAGCTCCCAGACATAACTTTTACTATGAAAATATTCTTCATGACATTACCTGAATTGAGTACCTACATTACATGATTTTCTGAAGTTGTGACTATGTAAGCAACTTTTTCTTTTATATTTGCTTAAAAATGTCTGCCATCCATTATCAAGCAACCCTAACACCAAACAACCCCTAATATAGATAGATAGATATATGAGGAGGGATATATATCTATATAATATCAATCTATCTATATATCTATCTATATATAGATATATATATATATCTATATATAGATAGATATATGAAAGGGATCCACTTACACCAATGTAAGTGTTACACCTTTTTTTTATTACAGCTTTTTTGACCTTTGGATCAAAATTAAATCCATAACACCTGCACCTAACCATTTTGATCCAGAAGGGAAAAAAAAAAAGGTTGTAACACTTACACTGATGTATGTGGATCTCTCCTCTCTCTCTCTCTCTCTCTCTCTCTCTCTCTCTCTCTCTCTCTCTCTCTCTACATAGATATATTAAAGAAAAATGAAGCAATTTTCAATAACTGCCAATGCTTAACGGAAACTCTTTCTCATTTCTGCTTGGAGAGAAGAAGCAGATTGAATGTGTATTACAAATGAAACCAGCATTTTGTAGTCCTAAATACAATCCATTTTGTTTGTTCTTGGTGAATGTGTCACAATTGTTTTAGGAGAATATAGAAGCAACCATTCACTAAAGGACCAACTATGTGCTGATGAGAAATTAACTACAAGTCTGAGACATGCTTGCTACTAATCATTTGCACTGGGATCTAAGTAACGCTGGCAAAGGAGTTCTTCACAAGGAGGACAAGGAACAAGATTGTGAACATCTATTTTTAACAAGCCTACAGCATCTACAAGCCCTCTAACCAATGCGTCTAAAAAATTGACTCTCCTCATAAATGACTAAAATTCATCAAAAGATTTCGTCATGGTTGACATGCTTTAGCCATGTTAATTAAAATGCCAACAGTTTGAAATCTTACATCGGCCTCAATGAACCAAAATCAACAAATTCAAGCATCAGATCTATGTTGAACCAAGCTCAGAATTTTTTATGAGTTTAACCAATGTTATCAGTACCTAGATCAACATAAGTTGTGCACAAAGTTTTCTTTAAATAAATTTGCTGTTGAAAAGTTTTAACTAGCCTAAGAAATCAATATAAACTGTTCACAAGTCTAATTTAGCTGGTGATTTTTCTAAAGGAAATGAAATTCAAACTGGTCTTAATAAGCGAAATCCAGTAGGAGAATAAAGTTTCAAGCCTGCTAAAGAAATTCTAATGGTAAGAGAACAGAGAAATTAAACATGCAAGTTATATATTAAAATTGAAGCCAATATCAACAGCAAATTATTTTGCAATAGCTAAAGGTAATGCCAAAAAGATTCTCTATGCAATAATAGGTTTCTACAAACATAGGTCATAAATGTAGACAACACATGCAAGTTTGTACGGAATCTTACAACATCGTGATAGCATCGCATAAAGCAGGATACCCCCCATCGAATGACCAACTGCAAGCAACTTGTCATCCTTTGGTTTGCTCTTAGCCTTTATGTATTCCATCTACGATGAAAATTTTATTTCAATAATAGTTAAGTTAGTTTTTATGACTTATAAGTAGCCAGCTGGTGTATATATAAGATTATTAGAGATAATGCTACAGAACTTCTCAAATGAAAGCCTTTTATGCATAAGGGATGGCACCTTACCGCAGCAGGGACATCTTCTTCTAGGTAGTGATCAAAATCCCAGTCATACTTCGCAACAAGATCAAGTTGTTTCTGCACATCTTTTAGTGCTGTAGAAATGTGGCTTTGCATATCAAAAAGCCGTGCTGGAGATGATCTTTCAGCTTCTTCAATTATATTTACAAGCTTTTGGATAAAATCCTTAACTTGACCAGCAAAATCAAATCCTTTTTCTGTTTCTGAAAAGCCTGAAAAGCTTCCTTTGATTGAAAAACTCTTATAATTTGTATAGGCATGAGTACCACATTTTCCATCCTTAACATAAAAATCCTTCCTCTGGGACATAGCATCTAAAGGGTCTTTAACTTGTCCAATGTCCACTCCTTGTGCACTCAAGCCAGCACCTCTGAGTTCAAGAATCCATGTATCATATCCTTGACCAGACATGAAGCGTGCAAACGAGGACTGAATAGGAATATAAATCATCAATAGACTTAAAAACAAGAAACCATAAAAGCTAAAAGCCTAAAAACTACAATCCAATGGAAGAAACTACATAAAAAATAATAATAATAAAGCATAATCCCAAAAAGCCATAAGCTACGAAACCACAATCAAATGAAGGATAAAAAAACCGAGAACACTAAAAGCTTTAAAATTAATCACATGAAGAAACCATGAAAATTACAATCCAAACGGCATCCAGAATTAAACACTCAGAAAAGCGAGAGCCTACAAACTTCAAAAGCTATAATTTGAAGACAGAAACAAGAACAAACCCATGAAGGCTAGAAGCCTAGAAATTGCATTAATCCATCGTCAGAAACAAGCATAAATACACAAAACTAGACGCTTAGAAATCAGAATCTAATGACCGAAACAATAGGCAAAAAAAAAAAAAAACCCAGAAGGCTAGAAGCTTAAAATTTACAATTCAATGAAAGAAACAAAAAACAAACCCATAAAAACAAGAAGCTTTAGGCATCGTAATCCTAAAAAAACTCATGATCTTCTAAATTAGTTGCATGCAATGCAATTCACAAGAAAGAAAAAGCTAACCTCAGGGGAGAGATCATAACCAATAGCATTGGTCCCAACGCCTGACAAAAGCATCAACGGATGATTCCTGGACGGCGCCTTTGGAGAAGGAAGGTACCTCCAAAGAGCCACCCTCCATTCCGATTTCTCTACTTGCACGTAGTGAAGCTCGTCAGCTGTACAGATATTTGTCTTCTTCTTGTCATTCTTTTTCTCTACATTTCTCTTCAAAGCGGCTTCCGTCAGGGGCGACCAGGTCCTGCGACGAAATGAAGATGGGGATTGGCGTATCGGGTTGGAGCGGGAAGGATTAAAGGAATAGAAAGTGGGAAGGAAATGAAGATTCGATTGGAATTGGAGAAGCACCATTTTGTGTTTTGTTGTATTGATTTTTCTTTCTTTTTGCTTGTCTGTTTCTATTTTGGTCTTTTGAATGTTGCGGGAAAAATAGCTACTTACCTTACCTACTATTTATAGCGCTTGATTGCATTAATACCAAACCAGTTGCTTTGCCGATTTGGAACTTATCTGGTAAGTACAAAAAATGATTTTTTCAAGAATTCAAAATATATTATTTTTTAAAAATAACTTTTGTCTTTGATAAAAAAAAAAAAAATAAGTCAATATAATTTTGTATGCAAAGTAGGAAGCGTTAATGTAGTTATATAGAATTTCGCGTTAAATTTGTTATAATTTTAATAACTTACGTGATCAATCTCGTATAAAAAAATTTATTCGTCCAATTTTTACTTTTCTTTTCCATTTTATCTTAACTCAAAAGAACATATTAAGATTATTGCAATAATAAAAAAAAAAAAAACATTTTGTTTTTGTTTTCGGGCAAATTTTGGGATTTCACTTAAGACACTTCTTCTCTGGTAAGTCACTCATTACAACGATATGTTGAAGATAATTAATAATGAGGGGAGGCATTGATGGATTTTGTTGGATAAGATACGTGCAAGAATCTGCTTCATAATTCATTTGGGAACATTTCTGTTATGTATGGAGCCTTTGGCTTTGCTTTCTGAAAACAGCAATTTCTAATCAATTCAATTTGAATTACAAGTCCGTTGAAAATGATTGCTGCTTTGTGAATGCTAGCTAGGATAGAACCATCCAAATTAGCTCTCCTTTGTTTCCTTCTCATTCTGAATTATATCCATTCCTTCCAGATTTTCATCCCAACTTACAAATATCTGAATCTGCTTCATGCCTCCAATTAACCATGCTGCTTTCCACCTTCCCCTTTCATGCTTTTGGATCAACTTATACTAATCTTACTCTTTTCTAACAATGCTAATGTTATTGTACAATACTATCGGATCAAGCATAATCAACACCTAATAACACCCATCAATTCTTTGCTATGCAATTGGGCAGGAAACCGGTCTTAGATGCAAAAACATGCATAAAAACAACTTCATCAAGTAGTTGTCAATGTTTGCAACTAAATTTCAGATAAGAAAAGTTCGAATGAAATACATCTCCTTCGAGTTTTCTCTATCTACCATCTCATTTCTCCTTGTACCAAAGGATCAAGTAAAAAATGTGTTAACTCTAAATTCTAGCTATCCACTGGACACTTTCCTCCTTATCTAACTAGTAAGGATGAGAGAACTCTACCATAGGAGACAACTCTTTGTAAGGCATCTAGGGTAAGACTTACATAAGAGAGTAATCATATGATCCTCACTCTCCTGCAGAATTCTGTGGACTTGATTTTTTTATTACAATCATGCTTTTTTTTGTGAAATTTCTTGATTGATATCCATGAACAAGAAATATCACATCCCACAAGAACAATGAACTGCCTAGGTTATCAAGCATGAAAACTTATTATCTATCAACTTCCTTACTGATTCTCCTCCACTGCTGATATTTTTACTAGGGAAAGAATGTGTTTTGCAATCTCTGCAGAAGCATCAGGCTTTGCTGCTTTCAGAGCCCTCTCAGACATCTCTGCCAGCAAGCTCTCGTCCCCTGCATAATGGCCACACAAGAAATAGAAGATAAAACAAAATTCAAGCATGTGCCAACTTTTAGGGCAAAACAGAGTCTCCTGTTTCATAGAATTTCATAGAATGTCAGGAATCAATTATCTATATATACTTGTAAAAAGGACTTTGGAATGTTTCAACCATAACACTTGCATGACATGAAATGAATATGTCCCAATACATAGGTCCATTAGGCATGTTTAGTAATCCGTGTTCTCATCATCAATCACAATTATCAGATTCCCAATTTCCAATCAAAACACTAATCACAAATACAAGCAACAGTTGTAATTACCTAATATTTCTGATATAGCAGTCCCAAGGGTGGTTGAATCAAGTTCATCCTCAGTTATAACCCTTGAACCTGCTACATCTGCCATTAGAGAAGCATTTCTGCATTGATGTCCTTCTGCAACATTTGGTGATGGTATCTACAGCATCCAAGAGACAAATAAGCAGTAGACAACTAGTAAAAAAAATGATGCAAAAGAGGTAGTATTTTGAATAGGAATCGTAGGTATGCTCATAAGAAAAATGACTTAATTAATTCTAAACTAATTTTTACAAAATCAAGCAATAATGTCACAACAGAAAAGAAAAAAGTATTAATGTAATCTGAAACTTTGCCTCCGCTATACGTGATGGAAAAAAATAAAAATAAAATTGTTTTGACACTATATTAGAAGGATATCAACAAATAGCAATAAACTGGACAAGCTAGAATGACGCAACTTGTACACATCAATCCACAACTACATAGTAGACTTTTTGATTTAGGACTCAAACAGGATATCATTGCATGTGTTACCAATTTGAATAAATTAATCCAAAATCAACGTCCACCATGCGGTGATATCTATCGATAATTAAGCGCAGTTTGTTGGTCTCTATACAATACACATGAGGTAGCTACAAAAACCTAGTTTCATAGATTATTTATTTTGTCACATTCTGTATTAGCAATAATCTAATCCATATCAAGAAAAAAACAAGTAAAAGTTTTAGATCTTACACAGGTACATGTATCATCAACAATAATGTCAAACCTCTTCATTATGGAACATTTTCCAAAGTCGTGATTCCAGAGCCTTGAAAAAGAAAACTTCCCATATATCCTAAATGCACATGACTACCAGTTTTAATATTATCCAGGAAAAAAAAAAAAAAGATGATAGAGTTAATAAGGAATAATTTTAGCAATTATCACCAGTGCCTCATCAAATCATCACTACTACATACAGTATCATGGTTTCCATGACCTTTTGTTTTCATTATAGTGAAATTCAGAGTGGTCTCATATCATCATGGTTGAGGCAATTTCCTTGAGGATAAATCTTTAAAGTTAGTTCCCTTCCACTCCCTTTCCTCGTGTAAATGTTTAAAGCAGTCACCACTGCAACAGGAAGCAGAAAATATTTGCCAAGTCTTTGACAGTTTGGAATAACCGTTCTTCTGGCTACAAGATATAATCTGCCCTAATGTTTCATTTATTCAAATATTATTATAGAATGGCACAAAGTTCAAGATTTTGCTTCACCAAATATTTGGAATAATATGTTCTCTGAACAGATAATCATCTGTCCAGATATGTCAAATAGCAGAAATACTATCCTAGCTAGAATGTTAGACTAGTAAATTAGTTAGCTCATTCATGGTTTTGCTAATTCTTAGACATTGATGTTAATTGATGCCTAAAGAGACCCAAAAAAAAAAAAAAAAGAAAGAGAAAAATAAAAGGGTTGATGGTCTTCAATCTACCAATATAGAAGGTTTCCCAGTAGCCAAGATCTCAGAACAAGTCATTGCACCAGCTCGAGAAATGATGAGGTCAGCTGCTGCATATGCCAAATCCATTGAATGCAAGAACCTTCATAATTCAGAGATTCATCAGATCTTAGGAAACTAAAAACACAGACACTTTAGTTATCCAAAAAAAAAAAACATATACACCTTGGATAAGCACAGTATTATTTCAAAAAACTGAGCTTCATTGAGTAACCACAAATCAGACAAGATTAGCAACAATAAGCTCATCATATTTTGAGCCAGACTTCTAGAACAATGACAGAGAATAATAATCAAGGTTCTGGCGTCTGGGTTGTAGCTGCCAATTGCTATGATGGATGCAAGTAATAAAATTAAAGAAATGTTATTTAGATCAAACAAACACTGAGGAACATAAGCCCAATGTGTAAATATATAATGTGAAAAGAACATTTAAAGTTTTTGGAGAACTTAATTCAAGTGGATGGATGCCAGCACTGTACATGAGAAATTTTCCTTTTGAGGAGGTCATAATAATGTTAACCGATGCCTATAGCTTCTGAATTCCAGTAACAAAATGGAGAACCTATAGAAAGGATAATGATTTGTATTATCTGCATCACCACATCCATGTGCAAGTTGACTCTCAAAACAATGTACAGTTATCAATACATGAAGGAAAAAAAAAAAAGCAGATTGCAGATCAAAAAGCACATTCCAGCAGCCGAGCTAGCTTAAGATCAAATAAGAAGCATCACAACCTTAAAAGGCAAACAAAATGAAGATGCACCTTGACCTGGATACACAGACATGGAATATTATGCATGATCTACTACAAGTCCAGCGCTGTTACATCTTTGTCTTATCCTCAATGTGAAGACATATAGTGTCTATGCATGTCTCTATCAAACTAACAATACATACACATGCACAAACGTCTATCAAACTAATATACTTTGTGACTAATTCATTCATTCTCCATTTTCTCTATCAATATTGGGTTATGTAAAGTTCGTTCCAATCTAACTACACATAAAACTTCATAGATTACCACTTATTTCCCTCACCATCTTCTCAACTTCATCCTTGTAGTCAATTTTCCTAGATTATTAGCAATAACAAGGTGAAAATAAATGCAATCCTCATAGAATTCAGAACTCCCATCAAAGGCATTATTTCTTCAAAAATGTTAAACATGATTCTTTCTTTTTAGTTTACTACATGTTTAAATTATGAAACTAACCAGAAAAGGAGGCATAAGAAATTGAAGCCATATCATCATTTCCTCTTTAAACAGTGCCAACATATATATGCACTGAACTAGGAGGGAACCTAGTTTCACGTCATGAATTAGTGAAACAAACAATATTGATCATTAGACAGAACCAAGCAACAAATGTGTTTCATTAAACGCAGGGCAACTTACGGTGTCAAAATTAGCTGCCGATGGCTCCTAACCAAGCTTTCCATTTCATTAAACGCCTCAACGCCTGTTTGCCATATAATGAACCAATTCTTATGTTCCAACAGCAACTGAGAGTACACATTCAACAAAGCAATGTTAACAGCATTAGCTCCTAAAGACCCTCCAAGAACCAAAATTACTTTGAACTCCTGTGGAGAACCCTCCATTTTCGTTAACCCAGGAAAAAAATGCAACCTTGACACTGCCTTTGAAACCAAACCTTTCAAAGTCAATCTCACAGGATTCCCACAAACAACACACTTTTCTTTTCTTGGGAAACACTCAACCGTTGAATTGAAGGCAACAAACACCAAATCAGCAAACAAAGAAAGAAGCCAATTTGCAATACCCGGAACAGAGTTCTGTTCTTGGATCACAAGCTTGATCCTTTTCAGCACAGCGGCTAAACAGACAGGAAAAGAAACATACCCACCAGTTCCAATGACTACATCGGGTTCAAATTTTGACAAAAGGCTGTAGCATTTGATGATGGATTTGATCAGACGGTAAGGGAGGACGAGATTCTGGAGAGAGAAGAAAGGCCAGGCTAATTGGACGGCTGGGATTGATTTGAACTCAAAATGAGCTGACGGAATTGCTGTGCTTTCCATGCTGTTGGGGCAACCTAAGAAGAGGAATTTGGAGGTTGGGTTGATGAGTTTGAGCTCATCTGCTATCGCTACAGCTGGATAGATGTGTCCCCCTGTGCCACCAGCAGCAAATGCCACATGGAGGCTCTCCAGGGCCTTGTTGGCGGTGGTGCTGCTAGTGGTTTGATCATCTCTTGATTCCTTTATCGAGAAGCAGCAACTGATGCTAAAAGACCTGCAGAAAAAGAGCAAAAAGAAGGAATGTTTAGAGAGTTTAGTTGATGGAAGTTTGTGGTTATTCAAAAAAGCAAAATCGAGTTTACCTGGTTTTTGAAGGGAAGGAATAGGGGGAAGGGTAGAACGGTAAATAAGAGGGTTTAGGAGGGGGAGAGATGAGAAAGTGGGTTTTGGCAGCCATTTTTAAAGCATTTGTTTTTTTTTCAGATGCCCACGTTTCAAACTAATTTGAGAGGTGGGAAATTTTACAGCTTCGCATTCTTTTCTCTTCTTCCAGGGTTTTAAAGTTTCGAAGAAACAAGTTTTTCTAGACAGTTAACGGACAGCTCCAAACAGGTGAGGAGGAAGCAAAGTTAGGGAACTGTTGTCCTGCTGGGCTGCCTGACCAGCTATTATATTTATATATTACTTTTGAAAGCGACTGATTTGGGTACCTTTTGCTATAATTGCTTCTTTTTTTTTTTTTTTCTTTATCTTTTAATTATTTTTGCAGAAAGAGAGCAGAGCAAAGCAGAAATTTTCTTGGTACACTACCTCAGTTAATTTCATTCCATTTATATTTCAATCCTTCAACTTCAAACCAATCAAAGTATATACAAACTTGTAAGAACGAAAAAAAAAAAAAAAAAAAAAGAAAAAACTTACTTTTTTTTTAATAGGATTTACGTACTTCATCTACTGCAAAACTTTGAAATTAACAAGGATTCATTTGGACAATGGAGAATTTGGTTCGGAGGAGGAGAAAAATAATAGTAGAATTGAAATTGATTATCGTAATTGAGAAATTAAAATTAATAATGAATTATATATTTAAATATAAAAATAATAATATGGTAAAATGAATTATAATAAAAATAATTATAAAAAATATTAAATTAAAAGTTGTATTTCTTTCATTTAAAAATAATTATTTTTATTGACTTTTTTTGTCAAAGTAATTTCATTTTAACTTTATTTTTTGAAATATAATATCAAATTAAAATTTTTTAAAAATATATTTTAAAAAATTTGAAATTCAAAGTTTATAAATTTTTTTAAAAATTTTTTAATTTTATTATTTAATGAAAAATAATGGTGAAAGTTGAATTAGTTGGACAAAATTTAATAAAGGACTATAATTTTGAGAAAGAGGAAGTAGATAATAAAAATTTTAAATTATTTAATATTTATAAAATTTATTTATTACATAAATTTGTTAATAAATAATAAAATTTATTCAAATTATTTGTTAATGTATTAAATAATAAAATTTATTTATTATATTAAATTAACAAATTTACTTTACACATTTTAAATAAAAAATAAAAATTATAAAAATCTCTGATATAATAATAAATTTTAAAGGATAAAAATATGAAAAAAAAAAAAAAAAAAACCTCCACTCACCAATCACCAATTGAACCAAAATTGATCAATTGATGATCGATCATTTTCCAATTCGATTGGATACAAAAATTGAAATGGGTGTATTTTTTCATTATAACTGCACCGCATCGGTGGTACAGTGCAATCGAAATGAAGCATAATTCATATGATTGAATATATTATGAAATAAATAAATAGAGCATTTACATTTTTATTTTAAGAAAAAAATACATATTTTCTTTGTTTTAAATTGTATATCTTTCATTAATTTAAAAAAAAAATGATTTTGATGCATATAATATGGATTATTTTTCATAAATTTGACGTTTCATAATTTTTATGCCAAAAAAAATCATGAATAATAATTTTAAAATATAAAAAATAAAAGATTTAAATGTCAAAAAAATAATTTTGGGTCATTTAAAAAATAGAAAAAAGAAACGAAAGAAATACTTATAAAGGGACTGAAAAAATATTGAAGTACGAGAGAGGATTGTAGGAGTAGTAAGATGCAACTGAGTAATAAAATTTAAAGAAATAGTAATCAAGTTTGATTTGATAAAAGGAAAGAGACAAAGCAGTAACAAAATTTATAAAGCTGTAGAAATTAAAAACAAAATCCAAAATAACTCTTCAAGATAACTTTGATAAAATTTTATTAGTGAAGTTTCCAAGGTTTCTTTTTAAAATTGATTTAATAAAAATTTTAATAAATAATAAATTTTAATATAAAAATTAATAATATATAAAAATTTACTTAAAATATCATTAAAATTAATCTGTATTTATTTAATGACAAAAATTCTATTAAAATTGATTATTAAAAATGTTTATCTAAAAAATATTAAAGTTTATTAATTTTTTTTCAAAATTTATAAACTTGATTTTTAGAATAAAATCTTTCAATCTATCAATTTTATTTTCGATTTTAATTTTTATTTAACAATTTTTAATAAAAAACTTTAGTTAAAGAATTTCATCTAAATTTTTCCACTTTATATAATAAAATGCATTGTAACTTGTAGGGGTGTTTATAGGGTTAGGAGATTGAGTTTTAGTTATTTTAATAAATTTGATAATTGAAATTTATTAGCTCATTTTCATATTTAATTGATATAATTATAATATAATAAAAATTTTTAATTTTAATTTTATATAGTAAAATATTAAAGTTAGTTCCTTTTTCTTTTTTTTTTGTAAAATTCAAGGGCTAATGTGGATATTACGCCAAACAAAAAATCATGAATAAGTGGACTCAATGAAAGTGGTTGATCCAAATTACATGAATCATTAATGTGCTTACCATATGCCCTGCCCTAGTGATAGTAACACAAGGCAAAGTGGTTGATCTACATTGGACCTGCCAGCTACAACTAGTACATATTTCTGCCATTCTAGTATTCGTAGTGGCCACCACCAATGCTTTCAACTCATTTATATGATCCCATGACAAGGACTACAACCATCAAAAATATCAAATTTGCAAGGTTCTACTTCTGGTGAAAATTTTTGCTTTCAGAATCAGATTTTTTTTTTTTTAATATTTAAAGTGACAAAAACTTTGCATCAGAAGACTAAAGTTCTCGGGTGATGAGGCCATAAAATATATACTTGAAACAACGGGCTTAACAGGATCTTACACCAAAGTTTGTTTCCTATTGGTGCAAAGCAAGGCTGATAGATTCCCCATAATGCAAGTTGAATGTGCAGAGGTCAACAGTTAATATGCTGGTAAAATGACAAAATATTATTCCTTCTGGCACATTTTCTCTTCACCAAGGAGAGAAACAATACAGAAAATAATTAATGTCAGCCTGTTAGATTTGGAAGCCAGTCGTAACTTTGTTGTTATTTAGCTCTTGAGTAAAATGATCAAACGGCTGCTGCACCTTGCATATGATCTCAAGGAACTTATTGATGCAATTGCAATATATACTTTATTCATTTGGGCACATTTCATCCCACAGGATTTCAGTTTTGCTCAACCGCAAAGTTTGCTCTCCTTAACTAAATTAGATTTTCTGAATATGTAATTACTCAGCCACGTGGCCTTGCAACAAGCTGCACAGGCTCTGATTTTCAAATCCTCATTAAAAAAAGGAGTAAGCATTTGACTGTCTACAACTGATATGAATGAGCATAACAACAAACAAGACTGTGCGTTGAGCAAGCAGGGTTTTCTATCATCTTGAATATCCATGATCAAAATCTGGTTCCAGATTTATCTAAACTACTTAGATTGGAACTCAGGAATTGCACGAGTTTTACTCTGAATGCTTGATGATTCTTTCTTTCTTTTTATACAACTGGTAGAACCTCTAAGTTTCAAATTCTACATAAATGGGAGAAATACGAATAAGTAAATTCAAAGCCCCTTCAAAATAATTGAACAATCAAGGCAAATAAGGACTCCTAATTATTATGTAAAAAGAATTCTATAACATTTTATTTCACACAAGAAAGGCAGCCAAATGAAAAGAAACGGAAAGAAAAGAAAAAGAAGAAGAACGATGGTGAATATCTTGTTGTGAATTACATACTAAAACATTAATTGTGCCTATTAGCATTATTCGAGGAGAAAAATCAAGGTACAACGACCATATGCATCAAAATTGACTGTTTTCTCTGCCCAATCATCTTATAATGGTTGTGAGATTCTGATTTGCTGATTACTACTGTCTGCGGGTAGCTGCTTTGATGCATCTGTCAATGCAGTCGCTGCAGCAGCTTGGGTCATGGTTTGATACTGCAGAGGCAGTGGAGGAGCTTGATGCTGAGCATAGTACATTTGATCTTGTGTAGGATTTGGATACTCATAACCATAATTAGTAGTAGCAGCATGAGTAACAGCAGCTGATTGTGGTGGATGTTGCATTTGGGAGAAACCTACATATGGTTGCTGAACTTGAACCACTTGAGGAGTTGATGGCACAGCTGTTCTATACACAGTTGTTGTCATTTCAGGTTTAGCAAGGGTAGCTGTATTTGTGGGGTAAATAGGAGGCGCTGTTGAGGCAGAAACTATAGGAGTTGGAGGCGTCAATTGGCGGCTTGGGGCCATAATGTTAGCATCAGTAATGTTGGATTTCATAGTCATGACACCAGTGTTAGATTGCATGGACATGTATGGTTGCGGTTGTGTTACTTGTGTAACAGGCATTACATACAGTGCAGGGTACTGCTGATCAACTGGATGATGAAGCTGCTGCTGCGATGGTGGAGCATAAACTGGATAGTAGGATGACATTGGCACTGGAGCAGCAGCTGCCGTATGGTGGGGGATGTAGTGCATGCTGGCTTGCACGAATTGTTGCCGCTGTTGATCCAATTGTGGAGCCAAAGAATAGGAATCTTGAACCTGTTGAAATTGGATTTGGGAGCTTGGAATGGAAGTATCAGCATTGACGCTGGGACTAGCAGCAGTTCTGCTATCTCTGGATGTAATATGACTTTGATCTTGATAGTACATGGGCTTTGAGAGAGAATTTGCAGAGGCGATGCTACTGTCGCTGCATATTTAGGTCCAAACAAAGGCAAGAATGTAAAATTTTCTTATTTCTGTGAGTATATTGACTTCAATGAAACAAATGGAGCAAAGAGGAAGAAAAGTTTAAATCCAGGGAAACTGAAAAGAAATCATGAAATTTGGAAAATACCTTGCAACTGAATCAGGGGAGGGCAAATTATAAGTACCGCACGCTTTCTGTTGAATTGGCTGCAATGGAGGTTTGCGAAAACCAACAGGCACCCCCTGATCAGATCTCTCATCATCAGACAAAATCCGATTCAAGTTGTCACTAGAACCCCCGGCAGGAGTGATCATAGCAGTCGCAACAGACACAGGATGCGGAGGCAGAGCAGGCACAACAGCCCCAAAGCCATCATCTTGCTTACGAAAATTAGTAGCAAAGCTCATATGAGCAAATAGCTCTTCTATGCCAACCCTCTGGTCCTGCACTTTAGCCCCTCCATCCTGATCAACTCGAACTCGAATAGGTGGCAAGTTGGACATTGAAGGTGAAGAAGAAGAAGAACCAAAAGATGAAGTTTTCTCCACCATTGACGAATCATCAGGCAATGAATATTGCACGTCATGAACTGCATTATCGTTTTTCGCTTGCTTGTTTTGTTTATTTGCTCCTTCTTGTGCCTCAAATTCACCTTCAAGATTCAACAAGGTCTCCATGGTGGCAGAATCTGAGTTCCCTCTTGGCATCAACCCTGAACCATTAAGAGCATCAACGAACCATGTTTCAGACTTGGCATCATTTAGCAGTGGACCCATGGAGGCTGCAGTGTCAGGCTTGTTTAAGAAAAGAAATAAACGGATTCGAGAGGAGGTTCCAGAAGAAGCTGATGAAGCTGTTAAACGGTCATATTCTTCAATCATGTTCTCGAGATCCTCATCCGTGGCTACTGATACAAGAGAGTCAAGGTCTTCATTTGGAAGCTGGTACTTCAAGGTAAAGGGTCGGCCATTGAGAAGGGCACGTGATAGGCGGGAGCAAACGGCTGAGAGGGAGCAGTGGCGATCAACCGCAACAAGACGAGTTTCACCACAAACGTAGCAAAGGGATTTGTCATGCGGACGGGGCATTATATGACCACCAAAGCTACACATTAGGCGGAGCCTCGCACCAGGGACAGCTGGGAGAGGATCATCATATGTGTTTTCAGTACGGGAGCGTGGAGACGACTCAACAGAGTCGGGGTAGTTGAGATGTACAGTGGTGGCAGCAACCGAGGCCGTGACATCGGTGGGGGCGGTGGGGGCTGTGGGGAGAGGTGGTGTATCCATTGGAGGAGGCGTTTCCTTTTTGGGGATAGAGGCTTGTTGTGATGTGGACGGAGGATGCGGAAGCATGAAAGGGTTAACTAAAGCCGGTGGATTTATAGTTAATTGTCTCATTGACTCTTTTTCTATAGAAAATAATGCTCTTAAACCTTGATCATGGCTAGGATTTGATAGAACAACTGGTGGTATTATTATTTCAATGTTGAGTCAAACATGCAACTTTGAATGAAAACTTTGCTGGTAGCAAGTATTACCAGTGCAAGGCAGCATGGGCATTGCTAGCTGTAGATTTGGTGGGAGTGGGGTGGAATCCTCGACAAGCTAGTCATGCATCTGGACTTTGATGGGAAATGGACTCAATCACATGCAGATTTATAGATTTTTGTGCGTGTATCATAACGGCTGCTTTCATCTTTATATTTCAATACTACCTCTAATATTCAAAGACCAATAACAACGCCAACGTCAACGCCCCACGCAAAGTTTGGTTTTGCACTTTGCTTTCCGACAGATACGAGGAGGCTGTAATAACCATGTGAAACCCAAGAGAGAAACTATGGGCCGTGTGGGGTATGTGGTATGTTTTTCATTTCATTACTTCTATGGCTTCAATTTGTTCTTGAGGTAAGTTGTTATTATTATTATTATTATTTTGGTAAATTGAGGTAAGTTAACTAGTTTCATGCATCATTCTTTTTTTTTTTTTTTGAAGAAGAAGAAGAAGAAAAAGAGGCTGCATGCATCATTCTTAAATTCAAAATATTGTAGGATGAATGAATCTTGTGTGAAGATAGTAAAATTTAATTTTGTTTTTGAGAATGAAAAGATGAGAATGCCATAATAGGAATGACATTAACTAAAAACTATAGAAATAAGGGCGGTTTCTGAATTTGTCATTTTTGGCCTTGATAGCTCCCTTGAGTACTTTGTGCATTTTTTAAGCTAGGAGCTAATATTTAATGCACAAAAAGAACATAAAATATTGGGATGAACTCTTCCTTCAAGTAAATTTTTTAATCATAGTCACATGTTAGGTTGTACAATTCATAGTCGTTTCAAAATAACACTAGAAATTTTAATAAAAATTATTAAAATATAAATAAGTTTTAATAAAAAATATTTTTGATTTTGTTGCAATAAGTTATAATTTTTGTTAAGTGCTTTATAAAATACTATTATTTTTATTACTATTTTAAATTAACCGAAGAAAGTTAAGAAACATGAATATTAAGGGGAAAAAAGCAACAATTTAACAATAAATTTCCGGTAAGATTTGCAAAAGCATTATGGGAGAAAGAAAAATCTACTAAAGTTAGATAAAACAAAGAGTAACTCATTTCTTGATTAGTTCATTCAAAAGAAAAACAACATTGAACATTGAATTTTTAAAAAAATTATTACAATCATAATCAAATAGTATATCATAATTAAATTATAATAATTGAATAATTAATTAATAAATTAAAATATAATTAAACAATTAAATTCATTCATAACAAAATTTGAATCTAATATCTTAAAATTTTATAGTCTTTTCTTTTATCACTAAGCCAAAATCGCATTTACTTGAATATTAGATTTAAAGAGAACACTTTCGCTTTGAATTTTACAAATATTATAATTGTTGGTGAAAAACTAAAAAATTACCTTTAATAACATTGACAGTTGACTAAGTAAATAAACTGCCCATTTATTTGCATGTATTTTATATATTTTATTGTATAACTTTTGCTGGCACTTTGAGACCACTTTTGAAAGTATGATTTTTTTTCGTATTAAATTCAAGCATAAGCTTAGATATTTTTTCGTACTAAATTCAAGCATAAGCTTAGATATTTCAAACTCCAATTATTTCCTTTTTAACATATATAAATGACATAATTTCAACAATATTATCTAAAAGTACACCAAATACAATTTAATCGGTAACAAATTGACTTCCAAGCTATTGGTTACAACTTAAAATACAAGCATATATAATTGTTTTTCATGAAATAAACTTGTAATTTTATTCATATAAGTAGCAACATGATGAAAAAGCATGATCCACATAACCAAGCTAATTCTAAAAGTAATAACAAGAGAAAGCATCCCGATCCTCATCAGACAACAAAAGGAACAATAGGAACAAAAGAAACTTTCTTTTTTTTCTTTAAAGGGAGAGGGGGTTTTAGTTCTAAACCAAAACCTTTATATTCTTTTAAAAACTCCTTCACCACTAAATTAAAGAATTGAGGACCTTAAAAAAGTGTTTATCACCATGTTGTGAGACCAATGAACTTAGTGTTAGGATCACAACAACTTTGGTTTCAATTGTTAAGCCAAAATCCTACGATCAATTAAATATCAAAGTCAACTGAAATAAAATTAAACAATTAATTAACTACATAAGAGATAATAAGTTAATATTGTTAAGCCCAACCCATAAAGACTTTCTTAATTTCCTCTAATCCTTGGGTGTCTACTTTGGTAAATCTTATAATTCTTTTATATTTTTCTCTCATACATAACCTTATTAAGACTCCCTCTATTTATAAGACTGCTAACTTGCCCATCAAGAATCTATTTCCTCTTAAAATTTCTCCTTGCAAGTCTTTTTGTCCATCAAGCAATATTTAATCAATCTCGAAAAAATTTCAAATAAATCTCTTATGAGATTTGAGTTCATATTCTCAACAATCTACACTTTGACTCAAATTTCATCAAATTATTAGTTTTCATATTAGACATACTTGGCTCCACATACAATAGAAGTATGGCAATCATCATTTTTTTATGTGTCTTTAAGTTTCACGTAAACTGATATTTCAAAACACGAACTTAAACTTCTCTCATAAATTAAATCTTTTAGAATTATTTTTTTTCTTCCATATCTCGAATATTTACTCTAATGCTAATTTTTAATATCACCATAACTATGATTCCTATTATTAAGGTAAAAGCTCTCAATCAATTAAACATTTAAGCCAACTGAAACAAAATCAAATAATCAATTAATCACACAAAATAATAATTTAATGTGATTTGATCCAATCCAAGATGGTCTACGTCTACGAATAAAATAAAAGATCTACTAGTTATAGAGAATTACAAATACATTAACAAATCAATCACTCCCTCACAATTAACATTCATGGACATTCTCCTATAATCATATGAAGTATTCTAATCCTAAACAAATACATATTTATGTGGCTCACTATATCTATGTGGATCATCTCAACCTTTTATTGTCCACAACAAACAAACATAACAATTATTATACTTATATGAACTCTCTTATTCTCTTTTAGTCCATAACAAATATTCAAGAATATACATTCATAAAGACCCTTTTAATCTGCTCTACTCTTATGGTGCATCTACCTTGGTAAATCTTACAACTCTCTTGTATCTTTTTCTTATATCTAACTAGTTAAGATTCTCATTATTTTATAATATTACCAACTTGTTCATCAAAAACCCTTTTTCTCTTAGAATTTTTCTCTTACAAGTTTATTATTCATCAAACAACATCTAGCCAATCTAAAAAAATCTCTTAAATAAATCTTTTATAGGATTTGAATTATTATTCTTAACAGTTTCCACCTTCACTTAAATTCCATCAAATTATCAATTTTCATGCTAAATATGCTTGGCTTCACACATAATGTAAGTCTTCTCATCATTTTTTTTTTATGTGTCTTTAAGTTTCACGCAAATCAATCTCTCAAAATACAAACTTGAACTTCTCCCTTGAATCGAGTCCTCCGAGCTTGCCTCTTTTGATATCTTGACCCTTCACTGTGATACCAATTGTTAGGATCATGATAGTTTTGATTCCAATTGTTAGGCCAAAAACCTCTAATCAATTAAACATCTAAATCAGTTAAAGCAAAATCAAATAATTAATCAACCATATAAGAGACAACAATTTAATGTGAATTGGCCCAATCCAGGATGGCCAACATCTATAGATGAGATAAAAGATCCACTAGTTATAAAAAATTACAAACACATTAATAAATCAATCACTCACTCACAATTAATACTCATGTACATTCTCCTATAGTTCTACGAAATATTCTCATCCTAAACAAATACATACCAAAGTAGCTTATTTTACCTATATGGATCATCTCAATCTCCTATAATCCACCCAAACAAACATAACAATCATCATACCTATATGGATCCTCTCATTTTCGCTAGTCCACTACAAACATTCAATAATACATAGCCATAAGAATCCTTTCAATCTCTTCTAGTTTTAAAAGGAGCCTACCCTAATAAATCTTACAACTCTTTTATATCTTTTTTTTATACATAATCCTTTAAAAACTCTCACTATTTATGAGACTGCTAACTTGTCTACTAAGAATTTTTCTCTTATAATTCTTTTTATCCATCAAGTAATATCTAGTTAATCTTAAAAATAATCTCAAACAAATCTCTTAGAAAATTTGAGTTATTATTCTCGATACTTGAGGCATCTAAAAAATATAGAAGAAAGTGTTTTAAATAAAATAAATCGAAATAAACAAAAGATATCTTTTTCAGTTGAACCAAAATAAAAACAAATACTATGAATTTAGTGACAGGAAGCTACTTTCCATGTTAAAACTAAATATATCATTTTCTAATAAACTTACTTTTTCACTAAGATTATCAGTGAATATTTTAGCTTTGATTCTGCCTTAAATAATAATAATAATAAAAAAAAAATATTAAAAAAAAAAAAGGAAAGAACTACACTTAGATCAATTCAAATTAAAAAAAAAAAATTGATGACGTGCAGTGGAAATGGAACTTGTGAGGCTGAGAGAGATCAAATGATCATTGCATTCAAGTTCTGTTAAGAAGCGTTCATAGAAAAAAGCTCTAAAAAAGGAAAAAGATGTTTTGACGAAAGACAAAGCCTCTCACCAAGAATATGTACAACATCATCCCCTTGTTGGAGAACCCGTGCCAGTGCAGTGCCTTTTAGCATGAGTGCATTGGAGCTTCTTGGCTTGGTCTTCTATTTAGATAATACCCATGACGCATCACACTTGTATAGGTACGGTCCGATACGTGAAGAGTCATAGTTGTAAACCCAGCATCCTAACTTGTTCAATTAAAACATATATTACAGGAAATTAACCAAAACTTTTTGGCAAAAGCATGAGAAGAACAATATATGAACACCATGCCAGAAAGAAATCCAACATAAAAGCACTTTTGAACACAAAGGAAATCATCAACACGCTGTTTTGCATAATATTTGTCTGAAATAGTAACTACATACACTATACTACACCGATGGAGCCGAGATGTTAAATCCTCACTAGTAAGCAACAGTGATTACTAACAGTGGTGAGCCTAGGTTTTGCATCTCTAGTTATCTTTTAATAGATTATGAAAGATTTAAAATGTTTATCATGCCAGCTCTCCGCCCTTCTAAAATTTAGTATTTAATTATAACTATCAAAGCTTATTACTTGGGAAGAACTTATATATATAAAGTTATTTACGCGAAGTTTGTGAAGTTTTGTATTAAAAATAATTTAAAAATTTTAATAAAAAATTTAAATCGATAAATTGATAAAATTTAATAAAAATATCAATAATATGTAAAAAAAATATTATTAAAAATATCATTTATAATTAAATTTAATCAGTACTTATTTAACAGTAAAAATTTTGTCAAAATTTTTATTAAAATATCTATATAAAAATAATTAAAAATATCTATATAACAACATATAAAAATTTATTAAATTTTTTTCAAAATTTATATATTTGATTTATATAATAAAAATTTTTAATCGATCGATTTTAATTTTTATTTAATTGATTTTAACAAAGAACTTCACGAATCTCAATTAATAAACTTCATATAAGTTTTTTTCTATTACTTGATGTAAGCCATTTACTTTCCTTGTGAAATAAGTGTTATATAAAGAAATCCAGACTGAAGTTTCTCAATATTCATGAATAATATAGATAGAAAACTAAATAAGAAAATTTAGAAATTGACAGCACTTATTTTCTCCCAAATCCTCTACGACAAATGGGTGCTGACGATAAAAGTAGAGCCAACAGCTGCTTTTATAAATTTTGATTTTGATTTTTCATATCGTTTAGTTAGGATCAATGTGGGGTTTGGATTAATCAATACCATTCTTGAATCTATTATATTAATTGCTTTAATTTTTTAAATCAATTGCAATTAGGTCAAATTTGATTTTAACTTTTAAGCAATTGTTTTAGATTTAAGTCAACCATAACAACATTTTACTTTGCAAGCAAAAGATAGGAGAAAGATGAGATCATTTTCAGATTATGATTAATTTTCAACAACTCTAAGTTGAGTGAGTCAAGTTTCAATCATCAAGTTTTTGCAAATGATGGACTGAGACCAATGCATCCCCATTCTCCGTTCATAAAAATTGTCCAAACGTTTTGGATTTTGGAATAGTTAAAATTCAATGAAACGGGATATCTAAATTTAAAAAATAATCCTACCATTTGACTTAATAATAGTGAATATTTTACTTGTATAAATTACAAAAATTAAATTTGTTCATTCCCATAACCTCCCTAGCATAGGCCTGCTTTTGTTTTCATCATCTAACAATGTCTAGCATTGAAATAATATTTTTCACTATGTGGCCCCAAAACCTTTGATCATGAGCAAAGCCAAAGCCATAACCATGATCATCAGCATGGGCAGCAGTGTCCATAACATTAGCCATCGTCAGGCCATTAGCCCTCATCATCAGATTATTCTTCAGGTTCTCCATAGCCTTCATATAGGCCTCAAGCCCCTCCACCCCCATACCATCAATAGCCTCAATATCCCACCACAACCCACCATTATTTCCCGCTTTCTTTGCCTCTTCTGTCACCTTTTCGCGCTTCTTTTCCTTCTCCAACTCCTTCAACTACTCCTCATACTCCTCGTTAATTTCTTCAAAATCTGAAAGATCCGTTATCGTGTAATCATCATCATCCAAAATGGTAGGGTTTTCAATATTATGGAGATATCGATTCAGGATTATATCGATGTTACGGTGGTTTCTCTCTGGGACTTGGAGAAAGCACGATAATGTCGATTTTTGCACCACACAAAATGCGAATCTCGCTTGCTTTCTTGAAGAGACCATTCCGGCACTTCGTGAAAGTCACATGCAAGTTGTTTTTCCTTTTAAGTTGCTTGAACTCAGTCCTTTGCCGCCCTTTTGTTTTCCCTGGTTTCTTGTTTTCGCAACACTTACTGTTCATCAATTTCCGTTGGTTAAGCGTGGTGATCGCTCAGGAGAATCAACAAATTAAGATTGATTATCCTCTGAATATGAACAAAAATCGACGCAAAGGTCAAAATTGTGGAGTTTCAACTTTCAATATTGGAGAATAAGCTATATATGAGTTGCTTTATAATCGATTAATATTGTACCTTATAGACACCCATTTGTGCCTGGACCTACTCAAAACTAATTTTCTTTGTATATATATTATTATAGTATAATAGTGTATTATTATTACCATTAGTATTATTATATCATATTATAGTATAACATATTATATCATATTAATATTATTGTATTTTTATTATATTGCATTACTATTATTATTATTATTATTATTATTATTATTATTATTATTATTATTTACATTTTTTTCTTTTCTTTCCTTTTTTTTGTTCAATTTGCCCAAGAGTAAGAAAATCTGAATTTGACCAAAAAATCTTTAATGCAAAGTCAATTAGTGTAAATGTTGAAATTAACTAGATCAAATAAGAGACCTAAGATCACGCTTGAACAAAATCAATCTCAAGATTCAAGCCTAGATTAATTTTGCTTGTTTCCTAAAAATTCTCCTAAGACTGCCTATAAATTAGATGAAAATCCTAGGACAGGACACAAAAATTTTGAGAGAAAAAAGGTCTGAAAAAATTTTGACAGTAGGAATTTTTGAAATTTTGGTATTGTGATTTGGGGTTTGATTTGCAATTTTGAGCTTGAATTTAGGTTTCTGGAGTTAGATTTAAAGTTTCAAAAGGTTTCGGAAGTGATTTGGAGCTTTCTGGGAAGGTTTGAAGCTTTTCTTGATTTTTTTTTTGTTTTTTCTGAATTTTTCTGGGTTTTTTCTAGGTTTGGAAAGAATATTTGAATTTTCCGACAATGTTGAATTTTTTGGCCGAATTTCGGTGGTTTTTCAAAAAATTGATGGGTTTTCTAATTTATGTTTGAACTTTCTAGCAACTTTATCAGAAACCGTTAAGTTACTCAATTTTCGGTTGAAATTTTCAGTGGTGTTCTTGGCTAAGTTTTAGAGAGAAGGCATAGGTTTTTTGGATAAAGAGAGAAAGAAAAAGGCTCTAGGATTTTTGAAGCAAAAACGTTGAAGATTGCCTTTTATATCGTTTCAAAATGATACCGTTTTGGAAGCCTTGACCCGTAGGTGACCGGACGAAGATCCGCGCATTGACCCTAGTACCGAGCCAACCCGATCACAGGTTTTTTTTTTTCATTTTATTTTTATTTTTATTTTTTGATTTGATTTTATTTTATTTCTTAACTCATTTTAGTTTTATTTTTTTATTATTTTTTTAGTTTTATTTTTAAGAAATTTTATTTTTGTTATTTTATTTCTGAAAATAAATGAGTTTAAAAAAAAAGAAAAAGAAAAAGAGAAAAATGATTCTATAAAAAAAAAATTTCAAATAAAGTTTTCAAAATAATAAAAAATAATAATAATAATAAAATCTTTTTAAATTTTCAAAAACATATTTATAAAAAAATCCTTTCAATAAAAAAAAAAAAAATTTCAAATAAAAATCCTTACAAAATAAATTCATGAATTTCACCAAACTATTGAAGAATTTTCATGGGTATAATTTTTAAAATGGAATCCACCAAACTATTGGAAGTTTCATAAATCGATTTTTCAAAAAAAAATAAAAAATAAAAAAATAATTTTTATCCTTTAAACTATTGGGGATTATTTTTAAGTCATACCAAACTATTAAGAGATTTTACTAATTTTTTTTGAATAAAAATATGTTAATAAATTCGATGACAGAACTTCTTCAGAATGGAACACTAGTCTCTATGAATACTCCCAAGGTGAAAAAATGACCTTAAACTATTGGGAAGTTTCATAAATCGATTTTTCATAATTTTTATCTTCTAAACTATTGGAGGATTATTTTTAAGTCATACCAAACTATTAGGAGATTTTACTAATTTTTTTGAATAAAAATATGTTAATAAATTCGATGACAGAATCTCTTCAGAATGAGACATTAGTCTCTATGAATACTCTCAAGGTGAAAAAATTACCTTAAATTATTACCAAACTATTAAGATAATTTTAAAACTGATTTTTAATATTAAATTAATTCAATAAATTACAAATATGATCAGGCTTGGATGATTTGAAATCAAACTGGTACCATCATTTAGACGGGCATATAAGGGTGCTATAACCTTCTCCATGTGTAATCGACTCCTTAACTTAGCATTTAGTTTTCTAAATCAAAATATGTTTCAGGTGACCAATCATACCTAAACAAAAAAGATTGATGGTGACTTCTCTAATCCATGTCTACGATAGGTCCACGGATCTATACATTATGGCAGTTTGACGATTCTGTTGGAGACATTGAGAGTCAAGCCAGTGAATGATTTCTTATTATCCAAGCCTCGCTTAATAAATTTGAAATTATTTTATTCTCTTTCATTGCTTATATTTGCTTTATTATTCATTTTCCTTTTCATTATGTATACTTGTTTAACTATTCATTTGGTTTTCTTTTTATTTATTGCTTATAGTTGCTTAATTATTTATTTATTACATATATACTTGCCATTCATTTGCATATGCATAACATAAGCTCTCCACCCAAGCTTTACCTTTAGAAGGGAGTGAAGTACTTATGCCCTTGTGAGATTACATGTCTTCACATGGGCCTATAAAACATTCTCACTCAGATTGAACTCTTTTCGCTTATAACCTATAATGAGCGAAGATTGGGCTACTTTACTAGTCTGTGATCAACCATGATGTAAGGAACAATTTGAAAACCTTTTTAGACTTAACCTAAACCGTATATAGTCAACCTTAAGAGCCCGACCATAGCAGAGCCTTATCCTCCCGCCCTTTGTAATCAATGCAAAATTTAAGTCCATGTTGTTATCTTGCTATATGGTGTTTATTCTATGTTTTATTGAAGTGACTAACTAATTTCATTATCTTCTTTTATTTCTTTTCCTTTTGTGCATATTCATAAACATACTTATAGATTACATAATATTCTTATCCTAAAAGCTATTTCAACAAAAGCTCTCATAGATCCCATAGAGCGTCAAGTTTGCACTTCATCTACCACTGTTCAAATGTGACTCTCTTATAGATGTAAATATAGAATCAGAGAAAAAGCAACAAGAAGAAAGAAATTATTTGCCACGCGGTCATATCTTTACATTGCCAAAGAAAGTTCGCTTGATCCTCAAATAGAATGACTTAAAAAGCCTAGTAGATATATAGAACAACATTACTCCTTTAAGGTAGGAAGCTTCTTGTCAAAAGTTTAGGCATATTGCATATCTCTTATCAATAGATGTTGATAACTCACTCATTAGGATGATGATACAGTTCTGGGATCCTTCCTACTATTGTTTCATCTTTAATGAGGTTGATTTGGTGTCAACTATAAGGGAGTACTCGACTTTAGTAGGCATGCATTTACTATATCCAGATAAAATATATGTGAACAAGCACAAATCAAGGAATCGTAAGAAATTGGGCCAGATTCTAAAAATGGGAAAAAAGATCATAGATTTTTACATTCGAGAAAAAAGAGAGCATAAGTGTATACTATAAGAGGTTCTCTGAGATTTCATTGTCAAGCATCCAGATGATGATCAGGAGATGAACGTATTTGCTCTAGCCATATATGGGTTGGCTATTTTCCCTAAGGTGTTAGGCCATATTGAGATAGAAGTGGTGGATCTTTTTAAATAGATTAAAAATGGGTGTAATCATTCTCCATCTATCTTAGCAGAAGCCATCAGATCTCAAAACTTTTATACACAAAATGACAAGGTAAGATTCATAGGTTGCATACCATTACTATATCTGTGGATGAAAAGCCATTTCAAATGCAAAAAAAGTACCTTCTTCAAGCTTTATTTTTACACCTAAAACCCAATTAGGGAGTTTTGTCAGAGCATTTGGCCAAAAGTAAAGACTTAAAAAGAATGGAAATATCTGTTGTAAGAACTCACTGTTGATCAAGTGAAATGGTTAGCTCCATGGATGAACAGGGAACCTATGTTATATTAATGAAGAGATGATACGGTGTTTCACTTTTAAGTCTATAGAGGTCAATGAGTTATGCACCATTGATGGTAAGGAGACAGCATAGAGCTGAACAATTTACTCCTAGGACTTATAAGCTCAACCAGTTTGATTATTCATATGGAGAGCTTGAAACTTTTTAAAAAATTAATAGCATAATTGAAGCCTGAAAGAAGCCCAAGAGGGTAAGCCCTAGACCTTTTACTGATAAGGTCACTCAAAAGTATTTGAATTGAAGAACTAAAAGAGGGCAAGAGATGGAACCTATACCTACAGACCAGTACTAGTTAGTAGACCATGAGCCTGATGATATGCCATTAGAACCAGAATCTACAAAGAAATAATATGAAGTAGAAAAAAAAATTGAAATAAAAATTTTGAAGCTCTAAGGAAAAAAGGACTAGTGGCAAAACAAAGCAAAAAAACTAGAAATTCAAGTCTACAAGATTGCTAAAGAATATAACAAGGCCCAAAAATTGTCAGAGAATTGGACGATGCCCTTAAGGAATTGAAGGAGCTATGCTAAAAGCATAAGAGGTTACACATACAGGTGCATGCTAAAGAAATAAATAACACAGCTCTAGCTCATGAGAATGAGAATGAAGTTGAAAAAAGAATGTGCATAAATAGAAGATGATTTTGAAAAAGTTTAATAGGAAAATAAAGTGCTCATGAACTATATTTGGACTATGAGGGTGAAGTTAAATGAACAAAGAGATCGTGTCAAAACCCTTATGAAAAAGCACAAAGGATTATCCTATCAAGTATGGTACGATAAGAGAGAAAGGTTAGGAAAACAAGAAAACAAAGATACATAAAACACATCATAGCTTTGATAAGCAAGGTAATGATTAAGGTAGACAAAATGGCAGAAGAGGCTAAAACATTGAGAGCTTCAATTACACCAGCAAGAGAGTATA